TGTTTTGGGACTTTTATCCTGCTACGATGAGAAACTGACTGTCCTGTACACTCACTTTGACAGATAATTTATGCATAATGAATATGAAATTAGGTACTAAAAATCGACCCAAAATACTAATTAAAGCTAGAGCGAGCACATAAAGGATATAAGATCTCTGCTGGTGACCCATTTTTTATTGAGGTCATGTATATTCTCAGTAGATACTTCTGACAGACTTTGTGTTGTATGGAGAAATACCAAGTCACGATCACTGCTGAGACACATGACATCGCTGAATTCATGACACCGTTAGTATGTGTTATATTTTTCATTAACATCAGCAAAGTATTACACTACACACTACAGCTGAGCCAAACTGCCTTGCACTTGTAGTCAATATTTATGCAGTTTCTGCAGTTTTGTTTGTTTGTTTGTTTGTTTTGCCTCTGCGTACAACCGCAGTGGATTTTAAATCAAACAATTAAAATATGAACTTGTAGACTTTCACCTTTAATTCAAAGAGTGTAACAAAAGTTTTTGCATTAACTCAAAAGTAATTGAACAAAATACAGTGATTTGAAATATGAGGACTGTTTTTAATACTTGGGTGAAAATCCTTTGCAGCCAATGAATGTCTGAAGTCTACAAACCATTGAGATCATTAAATGCTGCACTTCCTCCCTTGAGATGCTCTGTCACGCCCACAGCTATACAAACAACCTTCAGTTGCTGCTTGTTTGTGAGTCCTCTCTTCAGAATTGTCTTCAGGGACTGAAAAGCTCTGTTGAGTTGAATATCACATTTCTCTCGGGTTGTTTTCCCATTATGCATTCAGCCATTATCCATTTACATTGTGAAGAGCTGCCTGGTCAGTTTTCCAGCATTTGCCTGAATCTGACCGGTGCTTAAAACCATGTACACTTCAGAATTCATCCTGCTACTTCTAGCAGCAGTCACATCATCAATAAAAACTAGTGACTAGTTGCACTGGCAGCCAAATAAGCCCATGTCACAACATTGCTTCCACCATGTTTGACAGATAATATGGTATGCTTCAGATCATGAGCCATTCCTCTTCTTCTCTATACTTCTCTCACCCCCACCATTCTGGTTCAAATTAATCTTAGTTTCATCTGTTTAAAGAATTATTTTGTGCGTGCTCTTTTCAGAGTTTTCTGCCAAGTCTAATCTGGCCTTTATGTTCTTGAACATAATCAGTGGTTTGCACCTATTTGAAAACCTTCTGAAAACTCTCTGTATTTACATTCATGAAGGCGTCTGTTGATGACAATGATACGCCTACCCCCTGGAGAGTGTTTATGACTTTGTTTGATATTATGAAGGTGTTTTTGAAGTTTTTCTTAACCATAGAAATAATTCTACCATCATGCACTTTAATTATCTTTTGTGGTCCACCAGGGCTAGAATAGAATAGAATAGAATAGAATAGAATAGAATAGAATAGAATAGAATAGCCCTTTATTGTCCAAGCTTCACACCAAATCTGTAGGAATAAAATATAAATAGTAAAACAGCAGGAAAAAATAACAAACAGGAGAAATATATACAAAACAAGAGAAAGGCACGTAATAGAAAAGGCACAGATTAAAGAACAGGTTGCAAAAGTTGTGCTGCTGAACAGGTCAAAGCATTCTCTCTATTTCTTTTTTAAGATGTACAAGATTTTTCATTTAGCCAGTCCTAAATGTTTTGCCCTCGGTCTGATAGGTTTATATTGTTTTTCCAGTCAAATGATGCTCTTCTTCATTAGCATCAGCATCTTTTTGTAGAGTTCAAGTGAACATCTACAGAATTCAAGTTCAGTGCTTCAAATCCACAAGTGTCAACTGGTCATAAAGACGGAAAGAGGTAAGATTGCAAAAAATTCTTCTGGACCTAACCGTATGCATTTTAGTTTGGTCTTTTTGGAATTGTTTAATTTGTCTCTCAGCATTTCACGCTGCACTTCCTGTTTCATATTTTAACCCAAAATGGCTCTTTAGCATGTCTTTGTATGATTATGTGTTACAAACTTTCTCTGCTTTGCCATATTCCTGGTTGCACTTCCCTCCAGAAGCTATACATTTCTGTAAATTTCTAACCATCTGCCTTGAGGACATACAGGATGTAGACTTTGGACCTTATCATGAAATGAGCTCTGCTCCAGTGGCTTTAGAATTGGAGGCTTTTAACAACCCCAGCATCATTCCTGAGATAAATCTGAGTGGTCAAAAGATGTGATAAGAGAATGATAAGAAAGGCAAGCATAGAAATGCATTTCTCGCTCACAGAATAAGACTTCTTTGCTTTACATGACCCTATTATCTGCTCTGAACAATGGGCCCTTTTCACACATTTTGAATTGTGATTGAAGGAAAAAATGTCAGTGCAGCTAATATTAACAACCACTCTGTTCTACTCAAATATTCCAGTGTAACACTGACCGTCCTTATGTGAAAAGCTCAGCATGAAATCAGTAAACTACAATTTCATTTTATTACTCCACCTGTGTGGTGTCAAAAGACCTATTAATCTGATACCGGAAACTACTGACTCCCCTGGGTCTTGGGCCTTTGAGGAAGGTCAAAGATGTCCAAACTATAAAAGCAGAAACGATTTTCAATTACAGCACTGTGCAAAAGGTCTTGATCCAACCCTCATTTCTTTATATTTTGTTATTAAAGTTGGAAGCAAATTCATTGATTTATTTAAACAATAATGCAAACATACACGTCAGTGTTGTAATTAAAAGCAAATGCAGAGGTTGTACAATTCTAACGCATTTGAAACTCAATATTTGGTATGACCACCCTTATTCATCAACACAGCCCGAGCTCTTTTAGATAAGACTTCTTGTCATTTCATAAGCAGTTCTCAGAAACAGGCCAGGCTTTTTGAAAGACATTCAAAGCTGTCAAAGCTGGATGATCGTTGCCTTTTGTGCTATTCTCTTTCAAGATGATCCCACACTACTTCTGCAATGTTGAGCTCCAGGCTCTGAGGCCAATTCATGACAGACATGACATTCTGTGTCAGGTCTTTGTTGGATTTTTTTTCCTCAATTCTTAAGGACATAGTTAAGCTGTTTTCTTATGCCTGCCATTTCTTCTGTCCAGTTTCCTTGGATTCCTTAAGGACACAGTACACAATACAAAGAGTTTTCAACTAATAGTTTTTTGGGAATCAGCTTGTTGACTCAGAAATATTATTGTATGCCTGCCAGTTTCTTATGTTTGACATTTGAGATTCAGTTAAAGAAACAAGAACAGAAATAGGAACATATCGGGGCACAATATTATGTGTTTTTGTGTGTGACAGTTTTGCGTAGACACAACACTCCATCTCTTGCGTTAAGTGCGCTTTTTATGCTTGAATGATTCATAGGTCAGTATGTAAGCACAAACATTCTTCTGAAAATGGTCAGATACAAAGGCTGGGCTGGAAATGAGTGAAAAAGCAGCTATGTCTATATAAAGCCTGGAGAAATATTGCTCCAGACCATCTTAAAAATTACAAGAAAGCCTGACTCCTTGGAAGTGAAATATAGAAAAATGAATGGTGGCTCAAAAACGTTGCACAATACCGTACGTGACACTATGATCATTGACATTTTTTATTACACAGCCTTTGCCTGCTTAATCTCAGATCTGTTTGCTCCACACTACCAACATATTTTATTGCTTTTATATTAATCTTTAATCCGAAGCCCAGATACACCTAACGGTATCACCTGACCAAGCCAGACGTCAAGCTTTACAACTTTGATACAGCTTGAGGAGTGCTCCGGCTGTGGTATGTTGGCCAAACTGAACTTAATGTGTGACATATTATAACAGCAAAAAGTCAGAGATCCCATTCTACTGGAAAGGTTTTTCATTGGGGCCTATCTAAAGAAAAATAATAGTATTGTTGACATGCTCTACATGTTCTGCAACGAGTACTGTTAAAAGTTTCCATTTTATCCGCCCGAAGGTTTAGGTGAGCTCTCTGACTTTTAGGGTGAGCTTCCCACGCCTTTCCCTCCACTCCTCCTCGTGTCTGTGGAGAAATAGAGTGGAGGGTGGAGCAAGGAGAGCGGTGGGTTACAGTCCTGGAATGTGCGCGCGCTCCCGATCACTCCGTCTGTCCCAGCGGCGCGCCCGTGCAGACAGACAGAAGACTCGTGTGCGCGCGCAGCTCCGCGGCAGGTCTGGAAGTGCAAAGAGGAGGCGGGGGGGAAAAAGCCGCTGGAGCGGGGGAATGATGGCGGTGAGCAAGAAGGGACAACTTTGGTAGTGTAAAACTGAAACGCTTGACGACTTTTAGAGGGCTAGCACGATGGAACAACAAAAAGGTGAGAGGCTGAGAAAGTTGTTCACCTTGGTGTGGTGTTTTATGTTGAAATATTGTCAACAACTCGTGCTGGAATTGCCACAATGAATTGTCGAGAGCGAGATACCAATGTTCGCTCCTATTGAACTGTTGGCCGACTAAGCTGAAGTTGGTCGCGCTTTTTTTAATCAATGTTTGGCGGTGCCGACGTTTTGAGTAATGTTTAACCGGTTGAATTTGTTCAAAAAGAAGTTCGTAGTTCATTAAAGTGGCTTTAGAGCCTCGTAATGTTGCTGTACCTTAGCGCTAATACACACAATCGGCTGTTCACGCTAACCTTTCCAAGTTGCTAGCCAAATGAAGTGCAACATAAGTTGCAGGCTTACCTGAAGCTACATTTCAGGCTGTTTTGATTTGAAAGTTGAACGACCTATTTGCGTGCAGTTTCTAAAATAGCTAACGTCGTCGTTATCTGTGGTGAGACCGCATTGTTTCGTCCATGCACTGATAGACTTTGCTCTGCTTTTCTCTCTCTGTAGGAGACTTTACTGCTTGTGCTTAGTTGATACAACCGTGCTCCAGAAAATCTCCGCCGGACCAATGACATCAGTTGCGTAAAGTTGTCGAGGGACAATTGCTCACCGTCAAACACTGTAACTCTCTCCAGAGCTGGATTTTAAGAGTTGTGTGCAGCGTAAACAAACAGAATGATCAAAGCGGAGAGTAAAGCAGGCGAGAGGAGCCTGAGGAGCGCGTCCCCTCACAGAAATGCATACAAGTCTGACTTCCACGCCATTAAGTGCTCCTTTGATGGGACAAAGTCAGAAAATGCGTCTAATACCATTGCAAATGGATCCAGTGACAACCGGGAGGACTCAAGGGGGAGGCCTTTTGGGACCAGAGTGAACAAGATAAAGAATATATTCCTACAGATGGATGGTCAGCAACAGGAGAGCCAAGATGGGAAAGTGAATTTAAAATCTGATGTGACCCAGGTGTCTCCACCAAAGGTGCAGTTTCCGGTCAGCACTCACAGACTTAACTTGAACAGTGCAGCAAGCCCAGAATCGCACATTTTGGATAAAACGCCCAAGGGAGAAGATGCTGAGATTGACAAAGTGGCCTTGGCAGAGAAGTTTTCTGTGACCAGAAAACTCTTTGAAAGGGGCATTAAAGAGCAGCCTGCCGTGGAAAAACAATCTCCAAACAGAGTAGTAAATCGTTTGTCACTTGGAAGTGCCTCCGATGAAGGGAAAAGCACGAGGAGAGTATCAGGATCAGAGACCACTAACAAATCGGAGCAAACTCCTTCACCTGCAGTTAAAAGTCGGCCAGATGAGAAGGCTGATATTGAGAAACGGCCTCGGGTGTCACTAAATGCGGGGCCCTTGTCAAAGAGGTTGGAGAATTATATAGTTGAGAATGACTCAGAAGACAGTAGCACAACATCTGCTAAACAACACAGTACCACTGCACACATTGTGCCTACCTCTCCAACAGGGGACACCTTACATAAACCTACATCTCCTGTTAAAGACACCGTAGACTCTTTCTCTGATGCCACTAACAAAAAGAGAGACAACAAACCAGCACCTTTAGGGACAAATATTGGGCCAAAACCAACATTTCCAGCTACCAGTTCAGCATCCAAATCGGTTTCTTTTACAACCGATGCCACCCACAAACCTCTCTCACCAGAGCAAACAAGCCCAGTTAGCCATGGTCACAAGTGCTTGACATCATCTGGTGATGGATTTAGTAGGACATCTGTTGACTCAGAGAGGGGCAAACCACAAAGTCCACCCCCAAGGGACGTGAAACAGCCTCTTCCATCAGCTGGTGGCTTACAGAATGACAACAAGGGCAAATACCCTGAAAAAGCCAAGAGTAATGACCGTGTAGCACGCAGTCCTGTTGGGGACAAGATTCCCAGTCAAAACTCCTCTCCAGAATCCAAAGGGGTGGGCATGGTACGTGCTGAACTGGTAGTGGTTCAGCATGAGTCCTCGGAAAGTGAGGAGAATGAAGATGAGAATAATGACGATGTCTTTGAGGCTCAGAAGGTTCAGCAACCCAAAGATCAGCAGTTAGACCTGAAAAGAACCCATGCTCCAGAAAAACTGAACTGTACCCCTGCCCACCAGGTCTTATTAAGAGATGACACAAAAGAGGCACAATGGACTGCAGAGGATGTAGGCGAAGGTACACTCTTAGAAGATAATGGGGAATTTGGGCTGAAAGAGAGAATGGAAGACAATGTAGTTGTGAGTCGGGATGGTGAAGACACGCGTGACGTAGATGATGAAGCAGCAGAAGAAGAGGGTGAGCAGGAGGAGCAGGTGGGCCAGGGCATACAGGATAGAGCTTCTCCAGTAGTGTATGGTATAGAAAATGCAGCATTTGTGGATGACAGGGAAATGGACCAGGTCCTCAGGGAAGAGGAGGAGGAAGATGAGGGGGATCAGATGTATGGGGAATACGATGACTGTTATGAGATCCTTGGTTTGTCGGATGAGGAAGAGCCTCCCTTAAAAAGGAAAATCAAGTTCTCTACGGATCCCATTCTGGTAAGTATTTTGTGTTGTTTGCATCTGAAGCATTGTTGCTCATCTGAGACAAAAACAAAAAAACCTAAAACAAATTGCACAGCACCTTCATTATAAACCACCGTCGCACTGACTCAGCAGTGGTGTCTGACTGGGGTGTTTCCCAGAAGACACAAGACAAATGAGTGTATGCTCAGAATGAATGCTTTTGTTGGACTTGTTGACGTCACAGCTGCTGCACTGTATCATCAGATGAGTTTTGCCACAGCTGAGAAAATCTAAACGATGCTTCATTTAATCATAGGGTCAAGGAAAACAGGTAGTCTGACAACCTTGTCTCCCTAATCCCCATGACTAATAGGGAAGCTGTTTGGGGATAAGGGGGTAGTGGTTTTGTTTGGTCATATTTTTTATAATAATGTTGACTTTGCTTAAAAGCGTTCAAGAGTAGGTGTGAACATTGAGAGGACAATTGTAATTAACATATTTTTGACTTCTTTCTTATGACTCATCTCATTTTACCCAGAGATGGGGGTTTTTCCAGGCTTAGTCACCGCCTAAAGGAACCTTCTAAACATTAATTCATGGACATTAAAGAGTCTGTGTCACCTTATTAAACTATTAAATTTTCCTGTTATTACCCACCACTAAACACAAATATTAGTTATACTTGAGCAAAGGCATTGTCAATTAACAAGGCCAATTAAAAAATTTAAATGCTAGTTTGTTTCTTGTTTTTTTGTTTTGTATTTGTTTGTTTTGGGTTTTGTTGGGGGGGGGGAGAGGGGTAGCAAATTCCTCTGGGATGTTTCTCTTTCAGTTCCTGTTTTAAAAAAAATAATTCCCCAAATAAGCAGTGGTGAATTTCATCTTCCTAGAGTAGGCACATAAGTGGGAATATACAGACTTCTAGACTAGGGGATAATGCATCATATTGAATTTAGATTTAGAAAAGACAACCCTGTACTATCATTTGTTTTATATATTGTAGAAGTTTGCATTCTTGTTTTTCAGCTGATGTAATCTCCTTTGGTATTGACACAGATCACAAGCGCAAACATCACCACCTAGTTATTAGGGGGTGTGAAGCAGAAGTGATTTTTTTTTTTTTTTTCCCCACTACTGATACTTAACTGTCATCATGTCTCATCAACTTTTTGCTAAAACAGGGGAAACGAATCACACCAGCAGATTTCACACAGCATTTGAACAGCCCAGTGTTTATCCAGGCCTTGAAATGTGCTGTTATCTGAGGGTGTGGGGTCCTCCTCCCTATCCCAGTCATCCTGGTAGGGGGTCCTGAGAGAGGGGACCAGAAGCTGACCTGGCCTGAAGGGGACACAAACTGTGTGCCTCAGCCCCCAAAGTCTAGCTATGACAGGAATAAACACAGCTTTATAGACACATGTCACAGCAAAACACTAAGCTGTCTTCTCTGTAGCAATTCACTGTCTGTAAAAGAGAACTCCTTGATATCAGGTTAGATTAGTTCATATATAAGTTTGTATCAGTGGGCATCTGCAGGGCTGTTCCAAATTTTCACATACTAAACTGCTGGCATGACACTTAAGTATGTGAACAGTATGAAAATTATGGTCCTTTTAATATACTGTTTTCTTCTTCTTTCGGCTGCTCCCTTTAGGGGGCACCACAGTGGCTCATTTGTGTCAATCCCACCCTAGCTTCTTCCTCTATTACACCAATGCTCTGCATGTCCTTCTTCACTGCATCCATGAATCTTTGTGGTCTTCCTGTTTTCTTCCTGCCTGGCAGCTCCATATTCAACGTCCTTTGGCCAGTATATCCACTATCCCTCTTAGCCTTGGACATCTCGTTTTCAGAAAACTGATTTATATATAATGAATTATATATAAATCAGTTTTCTCAACTAACAAATGAGTTACTTTGTTCATAACAAAAAACAAGTGTGTCATAGTTTGCTAGGTCAAAATGTTTACTTCACTGATGGTGCATCAGGTGGTGCATACATAGTCAATTCTGGAAAAAAAAAACCCACATTTTTGATCAATATGTGGCACATCTAACCAGAGCACTGATTGCTGTGTGGACAGCATGTGGATGCACATTATGGATATTGTCATCTATGATGTGGGCAAGTCGGCAGTGTAGTAAGTACACCTAGTTATTAATCTTACTTGGTTGACTCGCAACTTCTCACCCTTTGTCAGTGGGATAGGCTCCAGCCCCTCCTCACGTGAATAAGTAGGTTGGATGGATTTTGATCAATGATGTTAAAATGAATTTCCCTGTTGATTTACATGTATGGACTAATGTTAGTTAGTATGAGTGCTGTCCACAATACGAGCTTGTTTTTGCTTCAGATATTTGAGACGTTACTTGACAAATAACTAAGGATATTGTTGAAGATGATGCCTGTGATTTTTAGCTACATTTACAAGTATCACTCTGAGAAAAAGACAGAAGAAACCATGTTTCTTACTTTTTTCCTCAGGCTATGTAAAGACTTTTTTCGGGTGACACCTTTGTGTGTACAGTTTAGCTAGCTCAGACTGAGCAGCATTCTCGTGGTAGAGAAGACTTGAGATTGGCAGCATTACTGTCCATAGATTTTTAGGTTGGTGATTTATTTATTTAGTTTGGGAAAGAGTTGCTAAAAGACTGAGAAAAGTGGTGGAATCTTTCACTGATGTCCCCAAGATGTCGATAATGACGTGAGCGGAAGCATGATGATCATTGTCTGGAGTGAAAAGTATATTGAGGCTTCAAGGCTGTGTGGTTAAATAGTTTCCCATTTGAAAACAAAAGATAATGAGCGCCCAAATATAGAAACTGAAAACCAGATACCTTATGCAACAGACAAATATGTGATCAGGTGGATATTCTATGTGGCTCTCCTTAGACTGTGATTCTTTTTGAAAAGTAGGGCTGATTGATGCACACACTGCATCATAGGGCAGGAGTTTGTCACAACGATGATATCTGCCCAGATTTGGACCACAACAGCGTGGGCTGGTTGTGTTCTCATGATTGTCCCACAGCGAACATTCCTACCTGGAAAACTAAAGACTTTTGCTAGCACTGCATCATTCTCCACTGTCTATTAGTCAGAGTTGGCACTGGGACTGAGTGCACTTGAGTTGTAGCTGACTAGGAGAGAGGAAGTTCTTTGTACTCTGCCTCAGAACAGTATTAACTCTCTAAGTAACCTGAGTATTATTGACGGAGGAGGTGTGCTGTGTGAAAGAAAGGCCCTCTTTATGAAGGAAAGACATGTCCAGTGTCAAAACGAATCCCGCTGGATGAAGAGCTCTTCTAAGGCAGTCCAGCAACATGTAAAATACCAAATGATTGATTACCAAATGCATTTCATGAATATGATACTCATGATGTTCTATATAAGACGAATAAAGGTGTTGAAAATAATGCAGGTAGGATAGTTACACTTTAGTAGGACAAGGAAATGTTGCTGTGCTGTTAGCCTGTGAGGCCTTCTAGCTGAATCAGCAGGATAAAATGTTGCACTACTGCATTACAGGTCCCATATCATTAAAATACATTTCTGCTGAGAATTTTCTAAATGAAAGTACGAGTTGTGAATATCTAAAGTCTCTTACTCCCGGCAGTCTTTCAGCCCCTTTGTAACAAGAACGTTTGCATGCCAGTTTCCCCTTCTTTCTACTTAGAAAATGGGTAACTAATAGGCTGGAATTGAGCTAGAATTTACTGATAACGGAGTATCAAAGCATGCTGCTAACATGCACTACTGTACATGGTCAGGAGCAAAATGTATTTTAGCAGACTTAAAGGTCATTAGGAGTTTAACTGTAGGCTGTATTTAAAGTTGTTTTTTTTTTTTTAGGTAGAGGCTTAAGCTGTTGTCAGACCACTCTTTATAAAAAGGAACTGAAGCTGATGTCTTGGTTAAAACCATGAGTCTCTGCTGATAACAAAAACAGTAATTTTACCTTGCAGAATGCATAACTAGTTAATGTGTTGGTATGACTAATGTACAAACATGTTAATTCTGACTCGAACAACAGTAACTTGGTGTTCTGAGGTAATAGGAGTTTTTTGCTTTTCCCCCTTGAGTCTAATAGTTTCAGTAAAAGAAACCAAATATCATTGCCTGGCGCATCCGATGTGGTCAACATAATGATTAGCTTTCATCACTGTACACAGATCAGATCTCCAGGAAAATAAAATGCTGGCCATGAACTGTGGAAACTTGACCAATTTATAACCAGTAGAGAAGAGTCAGGTGTTACTTGGACTTAATTTTGCTTTGTCTTTTTCATTGCAGCTAAACTCAGCTGGCTTTCTGTTCAGTTTACATCTGTTTTGTTTTCTTCTCTCTTCTCTGCACTCATTTATATCATATTTCGATACAGCTGAATTCACAATCAGTCTCTTCTTACGGGCATATTTTTCTGCTCCTGTTGTTAGACAACAGAATAACAATGAAATGTTGACATTAACGTGACCCATTTACACAAGGAAAAACTGCCAAAACACTGGAGTCATTTACCAAGGCACTGCACTGTTGAAGTCTAGTTTTTGTTACTGTGACACTGTCTGATGAAGTCTATATGCTCGTATATATCATATCGTACGTACTCGGATTTAAAAGCAAAATGGTCACTCAGAGAGCCGACTGTCTGGTTTTTTTAATCGTCACCAACAGATTTCCTGAGGAAGGCAGGTGCAGCAGCTAGTCAGATCAATTTAAAGCTACAGACACCAAACCTGACGGATGTTAATCTCTTAGTTTGGTACAGTTCTACAATATTATTGTGTCTTAGCATGTCCTCATTCAGAAAAACAAATTCTGAACAAGGACATGCCTATAAACCATTAAACAAATCTTCATGTAGCACAGTATGTTTGTAATAGAGCAAAACATCAAGCATGATCAAATGAACTCTTTAAAATAAACAATCTCTCCTGTAGGTGTGTTAGCTATTTGGGGTCAAAGTCTGCAAAATCACTGTTGGGCCACATATTTTCTACATCTGTCCAAATTGTCACGGTTTTGTGTGTTG